TTTTTTTTTTTTTTTAAATCACTTCCATCTGGAAAAAAAAAACTAGCCTCAAGTCATGATGCTGCCACCACCAAACTTCACTGTGGACGTTGTGTGCTTTTAGTGATGTTCTACATTATGCTTACGTCAAACTTACCTTTTGGAATTGTGTCCAAAGGTTAAAATTTGGTTTTGTCAGGCCATAACATGTTCAACAACTGATTATTTTATTTGAAATTCCATATTTCTGTATGGAGCTCTACTCCTAATTTCAGGCTTGAAGGATACTTGACAAAACATCCAGTTTTTGTAATGCCCCTGTAGTACTATATTATCTCCAGCTATTGAGAAAATCTTCATTTTGCCATGGTACAAAAACATTTCATTATTTTTTGTGTTTGTTTGTTTTTTGCACCCTTCTTCTGATTGATACCTTAGCACAATTAGATATTTTGACCTAATTTTTCATTTTAAAAAACAGTGTGTATACTTTTAAGAGCCCACTTAATGATTTAAAACAGTGGGCAAAGTAATGGAACTGTGTTAGTTGCATTACCTTGTGACATTACTTGCCTGTTCTTTGAAAACTGAGGAAGGCTTTTGCTTTGCTCCAATTTCAAAATAATTTGTAGTCATCATGAGAAAAAGCCATTATTGTCTTATCCCACTGTCTTGAGAAATGTCAAGTTTTATTACCTTCAGGCTACGACAAAATTTAATTATCAGGCTTCCAGTGGTGGTCAGAACTATTTATTTGTAAGATGCATCCTTCAATAACTAACCAGTAACCTATGATGACACTGGTGTTCTCATCAACCCATTAACATATAAGCATTTTGACATTAATGAGTTTTAAACATTTGACATGAAATGATTTTCTTGGCTTTGAACAGTATAAAAACTTAGTTCAGATATCATAAATAAAGTAGTTTTGCACAAAAAAAAACATTTACCTACCATCACCAAGAAATAGAATAATGTTTTTAGCCCGGTGTTGTCGAGGATGGAGCTTCAGTGCAGCATCCAGTGTTGCCTTTGCTTTTGAGTCCCAGTAGGAAGGGTCCTTCTCAAGTTCATGAAAGCCTGTTCAAAAATAGAAACATTTTTAGAGGTTAAGAAATATAAAAAGGAGTGCAAGGGCAGCATATGTGCATAAACATTTATTTGAGACATTTTCTGACAGGTTGATGTTTACTTTGCCCTAAGACAAACAAGAACAGGGTTTACACAGGGAATTAGCATAAACTGCCAACACAGTTAAAATTCTGTCCATTCATTCTCACTAAGAAGCTTCAAGTCAGTGAAGTTAAAAAAAAAAAAGAACATTCACCCAGAAAATCTTTAGAACAACGGAAAGTCAAACAGAAGGTCCAACACTTTACATAAACAGACCGGCACAGGCAAAAAATATCCTCACTCAAGGCTTTGTTCATCTGCAGAGACTTTCCATGACACCCACACACCTGAGCCGTGACCATGCCTTCATGCAGTTCTCAACAACACGTCTGCCGTCACAAACCCACACTTTCCAGCTTGTGGTTACCTGTTTGTATTCTCTAGTCTGCCCGCAAACACTACCAATATCCTGACCCTGTCATCTTCTCACCTTGGCTGTCCATAGCGGCCAGGCCTACAGGCATCATGATGAGGCCCAAAAGTATAACCTGAAAATTGTTGGACCCGCAAAGTTCCATCAGCATCCCTAATCCAACCTGGAGACTGAGGAGGAAGAAGAAACAAGACCAAAAGGCAGAGACTGTGTGTGGCTGGTGAGACCTCCGGTCCTCCTTTATAAAGCCCCGCTGGGGTGTGTAACAAGGAAGGGCCTTCGCCAGCTCATAGGCTCAGAGCCATGAAAAAAGGGAGGAGGGGGTGAAATCTAAGAGAAGGAGGAAGAGACAGAGGAGAGACAGAAAGAGAATTTGAAAAGTTAGGACCACACAAGATTTGTGTGGCATTTAAGACCCTCAGCTCACACTGATTTCCAGAAATGCCCGAACTCTGGTTTACTATTTTTGAGCACTGAATTAATTGTGGTTTTCCTACCTTCTCTGGTTTCTTGCTCTATGCACGATAGAGATCTGAATTAACTTCTGATGTGGTAAAAGTCCAAATATTCTAGCGTTCAGTAATCTACCTAACTGTAAAAGAAAAATTGGGCACCCAGTTTATGTTGGCATCCAGCGAGATATAAATCCTAGCTGGGCTCTTTCCATTACTTGCTAGTCCCCATGAAAAGCAGTCTAAGGGAAGAAAGAGGGGAATTGTCCAAGCTATTCTGGAGAATATCACAATGTGCTCTGCTTTTAAGTCAGTCGGTCAGGTTTCCATTTCTCCCCCTCTTTGAATTCTTCTGCAGCGTACGAGACCCCAATATTTTCCTCTTTCTAACTCATCTTGGCAGTTTTTTTCTGTGGCAAGTGAAGCATTTTTCTTCTGTGAGGTAGTGGAGCTGACTTGCAAAAACAAAAACATCTTCAGAAGTGAATTTATGAAATGAGGTGAGGTGGGCCAAGCTTGTTTCACACAGTGATGGGGAATCAAATTCCCGGTGAACGCCTTTTTGCCTCGCGAACCCACAAGACTCAATCGTTGTTACGTTTCAGAGCTCCAGAGGATCTTTGCTTTTCTCCAGTCAGTCATGTATTGCCAGCAGGAGTTTCAAGTCAGTCACATGTATCTAATCAAGGCTGCAATAAAATCATACAAGGGATCGGGCTGAAGAAACCACGTGATGTTGCCCACAGCAGATGAACTGAAAATACCAGCAGGCGTGTGCAAAAACCGGAAAACCTGCGCAGGCATGTTTGTCTGTTCATTTTGTTGTACAACTCTGCTGTTGAGTGGGAATATAGACCGTTTTGTCAGATTCATTTTCATGTATGACAAGTGTAAATACCTGGCGGCTGTTTCTCATCTCAGTAACAAAAGCCATTGTCATGCCTTTGTTTGAGGAATACAGTTGAAAACAAATATTTACATAGAATTTTTAAATAACAGCATTTTCATTGTTTCTTACTGTCTGAAGATAAATAAGACAACATTTTTGCTGTTTATGTTCAGTTAGCATTGCCAATGTTACTTTTATTTGCTAAATGCCATAATCACAACAGACATGTTTTATTAGGAGACTGTTTTATTCCTTTTCATGAACTCAGATGTTTACGCACGCACGCACACGCACGCGTACGTGCGCGCACACGCGCGCACACACACAAAATATGTCTACAAATACACACCTGAACAAACATATTTAATTTCTGGAAAAATGTCCTGTGGAGTGCCATATTGGCCATTATGCGAAGTCAAGGAACAGCCAACAGATTGTAATGTTAGACTTATTTTTCATCAAAACAAATGGGATTTCAGCCTTGATTTAAGCCTTTTTGCAGTTTTCTGTAAGTTTGTTCCAAATTAGAGGACCATAAAAACTGGAAACCACTTCTCTGTGTTTAGTTCTGATTTTGGGGATGCAGAACACACATAAAGTAGAAGACCTGAGTGGTCTGGGAGGAGCGACAACTGATCCTCAATGCATTTTGGGGCTAAGCCAGTTGCAATGCAAGGATGCAAGGGGCTGGCAGCATCATGTCACGTGAGTTTTGTTGCTGGAGAAACTGATGCACTTAACAAAAGAGAAGGCCTCATGAGTGATGAATGTTTTGTGGAAATACTGAGGCAACATCTCAAGGCGTCTGCCAGGAAGTTAAAGCTCGGCGGCACATGGATCTTCTAAATGGATGATGATCCAATCATCCAATCACATCATTGACTTGTTGTCCTTAGAAGTGGAGTGATCTTCACAAAACCCTGATCTCAGTCCCACACATCATCTGTGGACAGAGCTGAGAAGGTGTGTGCATGAAAAATGCCCCACTAATTTGATCCAGTTACACCAGTTCTGTCATGAGAAATGGGCTCAACCCCCAATAAACTACTGGGAGAAGTGTGTGGAAGGATATAAAATGTCTGGCCCAGGTCATAGAGTTATAAAGTCAATTCCATCAAATGCCAAGGAAGAGCACGTCCACTTCTGACCAAAAATAGTGATCAAATAAATTCTCTTACTCTCTATTTTGACTTTCAGGATACAGAAAAGGTTTTGGTAATTTTCCATAAAACTAGAAAAGTTTAGTCTGTTTTATAGTCAGCCAGAGAAATTACATGTGTTTCTTACACAGAGTGTGTAAACATCTGGTTTTAGCTGTGTACGTAAAGCCTGAATGTTCACAATAGAAGCAGAAACAAAACCACTTTAGAAGATTTTGAAAAACGGAGCAAAACACCCACATAACAAACAAAATGTTTAACACATTTTTGAGACTGTTAAATTATTTTTCGCTTGCTATCTCCAAAGAATGAATGATTTTATAGCAAACATAGTGATTTATTTGCACAAAGTAGAGGAGTAACGCTTGGCTTCTGGTGAAGACTGAGAGTATATTTATAGTGCAGCAGATGGTGACTTGTGTTCACTACTGACTGAGATCACAAATCAGCAGAAACTGGACAGAAGGGAGCTTTGCTCCAAACTGGGACTGGTTTAGGTAAGCTTCCTGTTCTTTACAGCACAAGCAGAAAATGTCCATATGTATGAAAAATATCCGCCCCATAAGGGTAATTATTTTTCTGGCATGAGAACAGATCCTGACTTTTGCTGAAGCTGGGTTTTATATGATTGCTAGATTATTTGTGTGCATGATGTACTGAAATTAAAACCCACATAACACTGAACCTCGAAGCAGATCTGAACCTACAGACTCGCCAAAACTGGAGAGTAACAGACAGGACAGACCCACCTTCTGACATTTACTTTCAACAGGATAATGCACCATATCAAAACAGCCAGATCTCCTCAAACTGGTTTCTTGAATGAGCCTCCATAGTCCTTTGGATGAGTTGAAGTTGGAGATTTACATCAAAAATGTTCAGCCAACAAATCTGCAGCCACAATGTGGCCCTATCATATCAATATGGATCAAACTGACTGAGTAATGTTTTCATCATCTTGTTCAATCTATGGCACTACGAATGATTGCAGTTCTGAAGGCAAAAGGCAGTTCAACTAACAAGTTACTTGCAAAGTGTGCCTAATAAAGTGACCTAGACACACTAAGTACAAGTAAAATAAGCATTTCCAAGCAGAATTTTATGTAGAGTTTAGCATAAAATTCTGGAGTCACGTGTTTGCATTTTTAACTACAGCTTGCTGCCAATTTGACATTTTTGGTTAAATTCACCCTACAGTTTTTTACTGTGTTCTCAGAACTCACTGATAATTGCTATACTCTCTCCCCCTTCCTCTGTGTAACATGCAAGGCTCCTTGAACCTAAAGATTGTGTAAATTACAGTGGTTAGGTAGAATTTGCGTTTAGATTACAGCTCATGCTGGGAAATGTTTAGGTTCAGGTTGTCAAAGCAAGGTTACACTTGTGGTAAGGCCAGACCACACAGCCCTAGTTTAAAAAAAAATAAGGGGAATCTTTCCCCCAAACTAATAACAGAGAACTTAAAAAATAATTATTTCAACTAACAAGCACATAGTAACTGAAAAGACAGGCTCCCATCTTTTAGAGAGAAACCAAAGTAACAACTAATGGGACAATTAAGCTAAATCAGCAACCGTGCCAGTAATCTGTTCTGTCTTTGTCCTAAAAAACCTTCCTTTAGATAGCAGAAACAATGCAGGACACGTGCATGAGAAATACTGAGATCTCAGAATATTTTGACAGACAGTCATAAAGGTTTCACTGCCAACATGAAAATGAAGAGGGGAGCACTTGAAGGTAAAGAACCACAAGCTACTCCCATCAGCGACAGCAAAAGGCAACTGGCAACTACCTTAACATCAAACAGGCTGACGTCTTTGAAAAAGGGGCCTCTCTTACTTTTTAATTTGACTCATAAAAGAAAGATGGAACTATTCCAATTAGGCTACTGTGTGTGTGCGTGCGTGCGTGCGTGCGTGTGTGTGCCTAGGTGTGTGGGTGGATGAGTATGTGTGTTGACTAAGAAAATTAAAGAGACTGCATAACCATGAATTGAACATGTGAACATAAGAAGAAGGGCACCTACTGAAGCCCAGACATAAGCATGTTACTATATAACTAATAGGGATATATAAACATTTATAAACCAACATGATCAGTTTTTTTAATGCAATAAAGTGATACACATTATATATATATATATATATATATATATATATATATATATATATATATATATATATAATAAAGCCCAGATCTTCAGTGGCAGGAAGATCTGGGCTTTCACTTATTCAAGGTCTTCCAAATGTGTTATTCTCTGCAAGTTTTTGGGTGATTTCCTGATAAGTTTTGAGTTCAGTTTTTGATAATGATATATCTCATGCTATTTTCTATAGTGGTGAACCAGCCAGGTCCTGCACCAGCCATGTTTTCACAAACTATCACCTTTTCTCCTTGGAGAAAAGTTTAAGAAAACCTTTTCTCCTTGGATACATCAGCAGAAAGCTAAACCTGTGCACTCCTGATTCACAGGACTCTCAGACTACACTGATCCATATCTTCAAAGGCCTTGAGCAGGAAGTTATTTGATTTGACTGAGGGGATTACTCATTGCTTGCAGAATATATGTATATATATATATATATATATATATATATATATATATATATATATATATGTGTGTGTGTGTGTGTGTGTGTGTGTGTGTGTGTGTGTGTATAACACTGTGTCCACAGCTGCCCTTGGACAAAAGTGAGGCTCTCATACTACATGGGCATCACAAGCCTTAT